CCCCAAAACCCCAAAACCCCAAAACCCCAAAACCCCTACAGTTTGAAGGTGGCTGAAGTTAAAATATTTAAAAATTTAACAAAATAAGATGTAAGTCAGTGCCTTTTAAACAAAAATCAAGCTATATAAGCGCCCAATATAGTTTAAAGGAAAGAGTTAGCTTTCAAATAACATCCTGTCCACTCAAGATTTTAGATTTTGATTTTTCGATTAGTTTGAGTCCTGGTTCATATGATTTTGCAAGAACGCGGAAAATGTATTGGTTGGTAACATTCAAAATTTAAATTTGTTTTTGAATGAATGCCTAAAACTAGTCAATATAAAATAATAAGTAAAATTCTTTATCAAAGTTCTGCAAAATTAAAAATCAAATTAATGCTTTACTTGATCGAATTGGCCCTCTTATTTTGACAAAATTTTATATTCAGTCTAAAATCTAGTTAATTAAAACTCTAAACACGACTGTATAGATGAAGTCAAGCATTCGGATAAGATCAGCCAAACCAAAAATGAAATCTCCATTTATAAAGGAACAGAAAGCGTTCCCAAAAGACTTTTTCAGTCATGAAGATCCTGTTCCACAAAGGAAATCTATTGAAAACAATGGTATTAACTCAACTTTTGACTCCAATGTTCAATCCCTTAATAATACTATGACTAGTAATCAGAAAAATGGTAAGATTCTATTTCTGAGGTATCCAAGATATTCCCTCATAAAGCACAATAACTTACATTCCTTTTAGGTTCAAGAAAAGGATTTAAGAAAAAATTTTCCAAGATATTCAGATCAAAGAGTAGAAAATACACTAAATCAACAAACTCGTTTTCAGAGAAGAGGAGACATCCTATTAGGATAAATGGACTTGTAAATTTAGATGTTCTGAAAAAAGATAACAACTCAACTATTCAACAAAACCTAGAAGTTTACAGTAAAGCCAACAAGGTATTCAAGTTATCGAGAAATAGCTCTGGTCTGAATTCAAATCAAATTAATGACAATTCTGTAACTATTGAATCAAGAAAATGTCCAAGCTCTAATTTAAATAACACTCAAGAAGTCTCTGCTTCCTTACTTGGAGTAGCAGACCCTTTGCAAAGAGAAGATAATTCGGATATTAGACGACCAGTGATAAAGTCAAAGTTCCAGAATTATGTAAGAAACAGTAGCAATAAGTCTTTGCTATCATTCGATGCAAATTTAAAAATCAACCTTGGAGATTTGGCAAAGGAACGACTCAAAATTTGCAAGAATAATGATTTCAAAATCCCTAATCAGCGATGTAGCGAGTTGAAACTTGCTTATAGGCAAAAGACCTCCTCTAGTAACTATTCAAGCATCTACAAAACAGTAGATAACGACTGCGGAAGGAATAACTCAAGTATGTCAAGCCAATATTATGGGGCCAAACACAAGGTGTTACCAGCAAATAAAGTTGTATACAGAGATTTCAAAAGAAAAATGCTTAAGCTCAAAAATATCCAGAAGCTTGGCTCTAGAAGAGACTCCTCAAAGAGACTAGTCAAGCTGCAGAAGATAGACAAAAATAATGGAAACTCTCTAAGAGCTGGACAAAAGAGGTTGAATAGGAGCTCTACTATGAAGGAGAATTCAGGGAAAAACTACCACAGCAATCATTTGGTAAATAGAACCATAGAATATCATGAGAAGACAATGATTGAAGAGTATACCAACACTAGCATTCCTGAGTTCACTCTCGGTCCAGACACGTTCCTCAAAGATGAGCCTCCAAAGCCATTGTCAGTCAACAGAATGGGATTCTACGAAGACTGAAGAAGTTTAGAGGCATGAATCTCTCCAATAAAGCAATGTTCAGAAGTTGTTCAAGAAAATATTTTAAATTTAAATCTTGAAGAAGTTAAATAAACTTCCAGAAGAAAGCTCTCAAAAAGAAGGCTCTGATGAAAATGAGTTTTATGATAACAACGGAGTATTATCTGGCCCATCTTCTGACAAGCAAGATAGCACAAAGAAGTACATAGAACTAGTTGACAGCTTCCGGAATGGAGGAAGGACTGTAGAATTTGAAACTCCTAGTTTCAAAATTCAAACTGAAGAAACTCAAGGTAAAAAGCAATGCATGAAATTTGAAGAAATTATCAAAGAAGAGAATAAAAGCACTCAAAGAAGTTCAAATCTGCTCAATAGTTTCTGAAGAAACTCAAGTGAAATACAATCGCAGAGAAAATCGACAGCTACTCAAGCTGAAACTGATGCAATAGATTCTTTCAGACCAAATCATAGGAGTTTCAAAAATCCAAAAGCTGAGTTTTCGGAGAGTCACAAAGCTCAATCCTCTAAAGAAATATGAATTCCAAATAGTATAGCAAGACTTGAGGGAAGAAATGCAAGTCTCAGATTGAACTAAATATCCAAGTTGAAGAGTCCAAGGATATTTCTTAGTGAAATAAGCAATAATTGATTCATATTCCTCTCTGTAATATCACATCAACTCAAGAACATAGCTTAAGAAGTTCTATTGGAGAGGACTTAAGAGGTATCCTAATGCTTGCTAATAATTTATGGTCAAATTTAAAAATCCATGCATCAATCACATAAGGGATTCTCGGGGTTTTGGGGTTTTGGGGTTTTGGGGTTTTGGGG